GCACACTAACCAATCTTGACTTCAATTGAGTGTTCAAGATTTTTCATTTTTCAGTGCCTTCTCCATTTGTACCCTCCAAACAAGATTCTGGGCTCAAGCAATAAACTTCAAACAAGGTCTCAAGACTCCAAAATTCTTGTCTTTTTGTGTTCTTTTGGCTGAAACTTGTACACTAACCAATCTTGACTTGAATTGGGTATTCAAGATTTTTCATTTTTCAGTGTTTCCTCCATTTGTTGTCTCCAAACAAGATTCTGGGCTCAAGCAATAAACTTCAAACAAGGTCTCAAGACTCCAAAAATCTTGTCTTTTTTGTGTTCTAATCAATCTTGGTTTCAATTGGGTATTCAAGATTTATCAAAAAGAAGCTTTTCCAATGCAAAACACACAACATGTAGATTAACCCCTTTTGAATTCTTGTAATTATAAGCCAATTATTGATGGGAAAGCAGAAGAATATTGATTTTGTTCAAGTGCAAAAACCTTTTTGTTGAAGATTAGTATGAAAAGGCCATTTATATAGTAAGGTAAGAAGAAGAATATGGCAAAATAGTAGTAAAAGCATTTACTATGAGACATGAAAAAATGACACAATCAGTCTTCCATTATACTTAATTTTTTTTGTCTGGTCTGATCTTCATTAATAAGTGTATTTAATAAAAAAATACATCTAAATTAAAGTTAAATTTGACTAAATTAATATAAGTAGAATTATGAAATATTACTCCCTCCATTCTATAAAATGACTTAAGAGGCTTGCTAAAGTTAAAAACGGAACTTAGCTTTTCACAGACTACATCAGAAGCGAAATCCTCAACTTCAAATACAATGCGAGCTGGAACGGGAACAGGTAGTGGGTACCGGCTCGCCGAAGACTCATTCTTTCCTCGGGGATGACTTCTTGTTGAGCATGTTTTCATTCTGCTAAAAATTGCTTATTTTCATTATCACTTTTTTAAAATAGTTTTTATTTTGAAAAAGAAAAAGGGAGAAGGCACAAGTACCTCTCTAGACTATGACCGAAATTCTAGAGACACACATTAATTAAATTAAGGTCTTATTAGCCCCATGAACTCATTCTATATATAATATTGTACATCTTTTGGCTTATGTGGCACACACCGTGACTCCATGCAGTTGAGGCGCGTGGAAGATATTTGGATGCCACGTAAGCCAAAAAGGTGTACAAAATTACAAAAAAAAAATGAGTTCAAGGGGCTAATAGGACCTTAGTTTAGTTAAGGTGTGTCTCTGGAATTTGGGTCATAGTCTAGGGAGGTACTTCTACCTTTTCCCAAAGAAAAACAATTTGTATTTAGCTAATTTATTTGAAAAGTGTTTTTTATAAGCAAATTGTGTTTGGCTATTCTTTTTTAAGAAGTGTTTTTGAGAGTCAAATTGCGATAAAGGGCAAATATTAATGTACTTTTAATATTAAGATTATTTTATAGAGAGAAACTAGTTTAAACATCTATTAAAAAAATAAATTAAATTTTTATTTTTATTAAATTAAAATTGAATATTCAAATTTTTAATCAATATTATATATTTTTTTGGAGGGTTGAAATCTTAATTTTTATTTTTTTCTTTTTCTAATCTTGCTAAAATATTGTTGTTACCTTTTTTTCTAATTCTGCAAGATAATAAACACAATAATAATAATACATAAACATAAAATAAAATATAAAAATTATTATATAAAAAAAAATTATTAAATGAAATTAATCAAACATATGAGCTATGTTAATTAATTAATTCAATCTATTACATATTTCCAATTGACCTCTAAAAAATAAAATTATAAGTTACTATCCTATTAAATTAATACAACTTAATAAAAAATGAATTTATTTTTATAAATTTTATTTTTAGTATCAAACTTATCTAGAAAAAGAAAACATTAAAAATATTATGCGAGTCGGGTTGAAAATGGAAAAAGTTGTTATGCAGAGCAGGACAGATTAAAATTATGCGGGTTAAGCTCAACCCGCCCCACCCCCCAACACTGCCCCATTATTGTAAAATAAATTCAATAATTCAATGTAACATTGTAAAAATAAATTTATTATACATAATGCTCGTTATTTCTTAATAACTAAATATTATTCATTGTATCTTTACTAAAAACAGTCAATGTATGATGATAAAAGAATTAAATATATAAACAACATAAGAAATTTCTTGAAACTATATCTAAAAATGGCTTCTCATTTAAAAGGTGTCACAAAATCAACGACGACAGATCAAATATACGTAAAGCATTATGTGAATACAAAAGAGATTATTCCACGTGCACCTCAAAATGATTTGCAGTGGTGCAGTTTGAAAATGGGTATATATACTTCTTTTGAAAATATAGTATCTTATTATCTTTATCAAAATGGGTGATTTTTTCATCGATCCAAGTTGAAATCAAAGAAAAATATTATCTTAGAGAAATTACTAATTTATCGAATATTAATTTAATGAAATTTTATTGTATCACACTTTTGTGAGTTTCCTATTTTAAGTAGGGTGTTCTCATTGCCTCCAAGTATTAACAAAAAGTATGTGGGGCTGACAAAATCCATAAAAATGACCCACAAAATTAAATTAAATCACAATAACAAGAAAAATTAAATCAATCACTGCAGTGAATCCCTGTAACTGTCCTTATATTCTTGTCCACCAAAACCCAACAAAACATATATTAAAAGAAAAAGATAATATAATTTTTTTCATATTTTCTTAATATTAATTACTTATTTTCTTAAAATTATTTTTCATAATTTAATACTAAATGTCAATATATATATATATATATTCATATTAATTAGTATTTCTTAAGAAAATACAAAATTTAAATTTAATAAGTAAAAATAGATGGAATTGATGAAGTACTATTGGCCTCCCTTATTTGGCCTAATCATGCCCTAACAATTACTTACTTAATTGAGCCAATTATAAGTACTCTTCATTTGATTAATGAACCATTATTAGGTGCCACACTTAAACTTATGTTAATCAGTAAAATTATTTATGTGTTTGAAATATACAACACTAACATACTTAGTGAAATTTCACAAATATCATAATTTGAAGATAATAGAGTGTATGTAGATCTTATTACTGTCTCATAGAAGCAAAAAGGTTGTTTCCGACTAGGTTTAAGTGCAACAAATTCAAATACGAAGAAAAAAAATAACAATCAAGAAAACATTTCAATTAGTAAGGGAGGTGATGCAAAGCCTACAAGAAAGAAACAATAACAAAAAAGTGTGATAACCGAAACACAATAAACAACCTATAGTGATACATATCAAAAGCAAGGACTATAAAAGAATACGGCCAGTACAACGACAAACATCAACAAGCCTTATAAGCCCTCGAAAAGAAAGACGACGTTCCACCATCTTAACCTTCTACCCTAATATGCATCCTCCATACCCTCCTCTAAGGCACACTTCGTATCGAAATATATACACTTGATTCGATTAAATCTGTAGCTAAGACGTTGCATTTGTAATTGATCACAGACCCTAAGACTCATGGATGGAACTAGAGTATTGGAAGTAGATTTTCGAAAAAAATTAGTAACTTTTATGCTAAATCTTTTATTTATATTGAAAATATTACTAAATATGCCAGAAATATTTGTTGGGCTCATATGAAGCATTTTTGTAAAAACAAATAGAGATTACTAAAAAACACATCAATTTAAAATCCTAGATTCGCTTTTCCAAGCCATCCACTTTCCACTACTCCAATCCCTTGTTAATTTTACCACTTTATTATGGTATATTAAGAAATATGAATAAAGCATCAATATCTACTTTATGAAATAAATAAATAAAATAGAAAATGATGTAGAAAGGAGATCACATGCACTTCACATGGAAGATTATTATTCCAACTTCTCTCTCATGCTAAATATAGAATATATTCCTAAAAATAACTCTCAATTTCCCATGCAGAAAAAAAAATTAAATATAACTTTTCAAAAATTCATAAAGAAGGATCAAGAAATATAGAATTTCACTAATGGTCACTATCATAAAAACACTCCATATAATTTGTGCATATTCCCTTTTGATGCATTATAGAAACTTCTCAAACCAGTATTTCTATCTCTAAGATAGTGACAAAGTCTGCATACACTCTTTTTCGAATCTTACTTTATGGAATTACACTGGATATATATTGTTGTTAATATATATATGTCAAACCATAATTAAATTCCTCAAAATGGGAATTCCTAAAACTTGAGCCCCAAACTTTATTGAGAAGATTTCAGAAATAGCATAGATAATAGGCATAATAAGGCTCTATAAATATAGTTTCGTTAATTGTGCTCTATAGTTATAGTTTTGTTTGCTATGGAGATTGTGGTTTGTATATTTCGCTTGCAGATACACATATATGGTAAGTATATACAAATTGAGGTTGTGGTTTGTATATTTTGTTTGCAAATGTACAAATAGGGTAAATATATACAAATTTAGTATTTACACATTTAGTAATTTTTAAGAACTCTGTTTGTATATTTTGTTTGTCAATATACAAACAGGGTAATTTATTATGAATTCTTCATAAGTCATATATAAATAGTTAGGGTAAGCATATACAAATTCTGGATTTATACGACCAAGGACCGAATTATACTGAATTTATACAATTAGGAAACCAAATAGCAAAATTTCACAAAACTATAGCCACAAATTAAAAATAATCAAAACTATAGCTATATTACATAATATACTCTAAATGGTTGTCATTGCGCATAATTTTCCCAACTTTGTTTCCTATTTAGGAATTCTTCTTAGTTTTTTTTTTCTTGTAGAAGCAAACAATACTTGGCAAAGGTTTTTAAATAAAGAATGGCATGTAACTATGTGTAAGGAATATCTAATTTGAAAGTAAACAAAGAAAGTAGAATCCCAAGAAAGATATGTCCATATATAACCTAAAAATAACCTACAAAATCCTATCTTTAGAAGGAAAAAATTATTACAAAATTTGTAAAAGAGATAAATTAAGAAGAAAACAAACATGGAAAATGGAAATAAAGATAGTTGTAGTTGTTGTAGCAACTCAAGAATATATGAAGATTTTATGCCAACATCAGAATTGGTTCATGGAAAAGACTATGATACCCTTCTTCTTAATCTTCCAGGTGCATCTCTTATCCACATGTACAGTTCGATCAAACTTATTTATTAACATGGACAAAATATGTACAATATATACCCTGTTATGTATATTATATGTACCATATATGTATATTTAGTATAATATAATATACAAAACTTATAGGAGTATATTTTTTTATAAATTAAACTAGTTGATCGAAGTGTTTAGGATCATAATTATTGCTCTTTGGGTGGTGGCCCATCTAATTAGACTCTAATGTGTCTGATCAAGCTTTTTAAAAAGTTAAAAATATTATTTGTTTTTCTAAAAAATAAATAAGTGCACACTGATAGAAGTTTTTTTTCAAAAAGTTTTAAAAAGTAATTTTATTTTTTGGGTTAAACAGGGAAAAAAGTATTATTTTTTTCCCCAATAAGGACTTTTATGATTATAAGTTGTGTTTTTTTCAATCTATTGTCCAAATAATTATAGTTTGTGTTAATATATACATATATTTTCTTGATTTACATTTCTATTTTTTCCTTCATTGGAGTCAAATTTTGATTTCACCTTTGGAGCTAAATTGTTCGCAGCTAACAAAATTTTGTGATAATTTATCGTTAATCTATCACTAAATAGTATAGTGGTAGATTTTACTGTTTAGCTAGGAAATTTATCCGTCTCTAATTCTTATTCTTTTTAATCATGTTAGTTGTGTGCACCTTCACCAACAATTGTTGATGTCTTTTTGCGCTTTTCGCTTATGAAAACACCTAACAAATCCAATATATGAACTTTGAAAATTCAACAGGTTTCAAGAAAGAAGAGGTGAAGATTCAATTATGCAAAAAAAAAGGAATTCTAAAGATTAATGGACAAAGGCCAGTAAATAAATTTTTAAGCTTTCAAAAGGACATTCCTGTTTCAAAAAATTGTGACAAAAGTAAAATAAATGCAAGGCTAGTAAATGGAATACTTTATGTTAAACATCCAAAACTCATAATTTCATCACAAATAAATGGAAATGACTTGCCAACCTTAACTAATATTGAACCAAAACAGGATAACAAGAAAACAGAATTAGATGAATTAAGTAAACAAGACAATGCTGAGAAACCAAACAACACTAGTCCAAAATCCAATGAACAAACACAAGTTGTTAAACCAAACGAATCGATGAAAGATGATGCCATGACGCGTCCTGCTAGCGATTTATTTGCAAAGTTGAAGGTGTCAAGGCAAGTGATGAACATGGCTATGGCTGCATTGGTGGTTCTTGGTGTTGGTGGCTATGTAATGAGGTCTCCAAAGAAAGCTAAAGAATGAGACTATAGTTAGCTTGTGTCTTACTTCAATTCAAATTTCAAAGTTAGGAACAATTGTGTATTTGTGATTGCAAAATAGAAGTTAACAAAGTTTCATACTGTAATGTAATGAATCATTTATAATTGAACAAAGATCAACATTTGAATCCCCTTGCCCCTACCTTTGTTTGTTTCAATTTATTGAGATAAGGCACAAGTACCCTAGACTATGATCAAAATTCCAGAGACACTTTAACTAGACTAAGATTCTATCCCCCCCCCTCCCGAATCCATTTTTTTCTTGTAATTTTGTACACCTTTTTGACTCATGTGGCATCCAAACATCTCCCACGCGCCTCAACTACGTAGAGTCACGGTCCTCACGGAGTGTGCCATGTAAGCCAAAAGGTGTACAAAATTACAAAAAAAATGAGTTCGGGGGAGAAGGGGTGGGGGAGGTAATAGGACCTTAGTTTAGTTAAGGTATGTCTCTGGAATTTCGGTCATAGTCTAGGGTGTACTTGTGCCTTATCCCCAATTTATTTGTATGATTTTTCTTTGAAATGAAGTTCAAAAAAAGTAAAAGAAGAATTTTAAAAAAATATATAGAAGTATAGAATGTACCAAAATGTCTTTTAATCTTCGTCTTAAATATGTCACGAGGAAAGTTGGTATTTAAGAGTTGCCAAAAAGGAAAGAGACGTACTTTTTTGAAATGGACTAAAAAGAAAGGTAAGACAAATAAATTTGGAACGGATGAATACGAAGAATTTTCAGAAAATGTTTTTAAATTTTTATCACGTTTAATTGGCTTAAATGTTTTTAAAACTATTTTTCAAATGGACTTATTTTTCTCAAATTTTAGGAAAATGACTTTCTACATATAGAAAGGAAAACATTTACAAAACTCTCTTTTAACCTCACCACCCAATCTGAGATCTGACCTCGACTCCGGACCCCAACCTCAACCTGGATCGAGGTCAGATCATGGGTGTAGGTTGGAAGTTGAATCTTGAAATGGATTAGGATCACTAGTCATGCTCAAGGGTCAGTGTCAGGGTCAAGTTCAAGATTTGAGTCTCAAGTCAAATCTCAGGTCGAGAGTAGGGTCTTGGACCAAGCTCAAGATCTGGGTCCCAAATTAGTAGTCAAGTCTAGGATCGAAGTCAAATCCTGGTCCATGCTCGAGGCGGGAGTCAGGTCTTGAGACTCTCGTCCTAGACCCGAGATCTGACTCCCGACCAAAAATCCAACTCGACTTGCAAAACTGACTACCGACCCCAACCCTGACCCAAGACCCAACTATCATCCATAACTTCGGATCCAACTCCCGATTATAGTATTTTTTCCATAATATAGTATTTTTGGGTTCGATGTCATCGTATTTTCTTAGATTATACCTAAATATTCTTGGGACACTATTTTCTTTTTACTTACCACACACTAAAAAATAAGTTATAAAAACCACTTATTTTCCATTTTCTAGAAACACTTTCCTTCGTAGCAAACACACCCTTGAGCCTCAAACTTTGCTCCTACACTTGAGGTTTCCTATTTAGGTGTTCTTAATTTTTATTTTTTTTTAATTATTATTGTACAAGAAGAGGTTTATAAACAAAGTAATGAACCATTAATTAGCTAAGGAATATGTATCTTGAAAGAAAACATTGAAAGTTCTCTTGTGAATTTTTCTAAGTGTATATATATACACTACAAACTTAAATCCTTTCCATCAACAAGAACAAAGCCTTGAAGCAAAGATCACAAATTTTAGCAAAAATAAAGCAAAGAGATAGAAAATGGATTCAACACCAACTCAAGTATATGAAGATTTTGTTCCATCAACAAAACTGGTTCAAGAAGAACATTTTGACACTCTTCACCTTACTCTTCCAGGTCTCTCCTTTTCTCTTAAGTCATTAAATAGTTTATATCGACACGGAGTGAGGACACATACTACAACTTGCTTGTCATCTTAGAAGTCTGTCAGTCCTTCTATCAATGTCACATACACCCTCTATTAGTATGTAACATCCTAGGAAAATCTCATATCGACAAAACACGGAAGAGATGTTTAATATATAAGGAAAAAACATGCATTTAGACTCTAGTGACGTGTTTCAAAGCCGTGCAACTCTAGTCATGTACTATTCATTTCATTGTTTTGTTAGTTAACCTTAAACATTGTTTTGTATCATTGAAATTCCACAGGTTTCAAGAAGGAAGAGCTGAGGGTTGAACTGAACAAAACAGGAATTCTGAAGATCAGTGGACAAAGGCCAGTTGGGATGTCGAACAAGTGGCGGAGATTTCAGAAGGAATTTCCTGTTGCAGTAAACTGTGACAGAAGCAAAATCAGCGCGAAGTTAGAAAACGGAATTCTTCATGTTAAACAGCCAAAAATGATAACTTCACCAGCGAAAAAGGATAACAAATTGATAGCTACATTAGCTGAAAATACCCCTGCAGCTAATAGACAGACTACAACTTTACGAGACGAATTTAGTAAACAGGACAATGCTGGTACTGATACCTCTTCTAAAGAAGAATCAAAGACCAACAATCCTAAAAACAGTGAGCAAACAGAAGCTAAAAGCAGTTCAAGTAGTAGTTCTTACAGTGAATCGACAGATGATGAAGCAATCGGAAATGTGAGTTGTTTGGCTGCAAACATGAAGAAGACAAGGAAAGTTATGAAAATGACTCTTGTTGCTCTTTCAGTTCTTGGCATTGGGCTCTATGTCGCCAACGTGATGAAGTCTGCAAACGAAGCTGAAGAATGAGAAGAGTCTTAATTTCAGTAGCCAAAACCGGTTGGGAAATTTCTATGATTGTGAATGGAAATGATAAACTGTAATCTTTCAATTTGTTTGTGAATCTTAAAACCATTATAACTGCTAATTAAGGTGCAATGTTGATCTTTAGCGCATATACAACAACATACTCAATGTAATTCCACATTGTGGTCTGGAGAGGGTGATGTGTACGCAACCTAACCCCTACCTTGTGAAGGTAGTAGAAAGGTTGTTTCCAAGTCTAGAATGTGATGTGTACGCAACGTGACATCTACCTTGTGAAGGTAGTAGAGAGGTTGTTTCTGATAGACTTTTGGCTAAAGTAAAGCATATCAAAATCACTAAGAAAAGGAAATACAGTTGTGAAGAAGTCATGTAGAAAATAATGGAGAAAAGAACAGTAGAAACAACAAATAATATGATAACCGAAGCAAGGAAAACAAAATGTAATAATAAGATCGAGGAATAATATTGTAAGAGAGCAATAATAATTATATTGATAAAAGAAACTCGATAGCACTCGACTATCTACAAACCTTCTACCATGTTCCTCGACCTCCATATCCTCCTATCTAGAGTCATGTCCTTGATAAATTACAAGTGTGCATGTCCAGTCTAATTAGCTCTTCCTAATATGATCTTCAGCCTACCTCTACCCCTCTTCAAACCTACCATAGCCAACCTCTCACACCACACTAAATAGGATTTGCTGATGATCATTTTTCATTAGATTTCTAATTGAAAATTATGTGCAACAAGAGAAAAAAAATGAGTTATCCACCGGAAAGTTAGTATTTTCAGGTCGTGTGATTTTTGTGTTAGTATCCTCAAAGTTAAATGATTTTTGTGTTGTGAAAAGAAAAAGTGATAGTTACGTGACCATATATGAAATTTACCTAGCTTTCCGTAGTAATAACTAAGCAAAAAGAGAGTTCAGGTTACATTCAACTCACAATAAGAAGCAATTGACTTTACATATATATGCAATGCTAATAATTCTTAGTGCTAAAAGTTCATTTCAAATACATTACATTATAAACTTTGGAAAAAAGGACAAACTGGTTCCTACTTTTCTATTGCTCCTTGAGTATTGTTTCGTCACACCCCAAATCCGGGGTGAGACGTGACACAATACCCCATACCTTAACGTTGACTGAGCGAACCAATTAAATATAGTTACCCATACTCATGAAAAATGAATGTCAAACCTTATGAAAAAGGTATATTTATGTTTGCAATACTTGTATCATGTAGCACATTATCCAAATCATACTTAGAAGTATGATTCTTGAAACATGTGTGCAAAGGCGAAGGTAGAGTAGAAGGTACAAATTCAACAGAACCTAGCTAGTAGCTTTTGTCCTAACCTTGTATTTGTCTTAAAAACTATTTGATACATACAAATTATTAATTTAGAACTCAGTAACTTAAAAGAGCTAAAATCTAGAACTTATAAACTTCAAATTCTGAATCGACCTCTACATATATGTAGATAATAATATAAACTCAAGAACAAACTAACTTCCCACAATTTTATTTTTTTTACCTTAAGGGATATTAAGACCTTTGTAAAGTTTCATGTCTTATTGAAAAAAAAGGTATATTCTCCCTTCTTTTGTATTATAGACTTTCCATATCCCCAATTACAAAATCTTAAACTTTTGAGCCTCAAAACCTTGTACCTAAACTTTCAGGTTCCCTATTTAGGAGTTCTTTTTCATGTACAAGAAAACTCTGTATAGCTTAAAGAAAAGGTTAGTTAAGGAATAAGTATCTTGAAAGAAAACACACACAAAAAAAAAAGCATCTCAAGAAAGTTTTCTTGTGAATTTTTCTAAGTATATATATATACACTTCAAACTTAAATCATTTTCATCAACAAGAAAAGATTACATATTAACAAAAGAGAGAAAAGAAAGATACAATATGAATTCAAAGGGAGCTACTACACCAACTCAAGTATATGAAGATTTTGTGCCATCATCAAAGCTGGTTCATGGAGAACATTTTGACACAATTCACATTGATCTTCATGGTAATTTTCTTTTAGTCATTGATTATTTGTTTTCCTCCTCATCCCATCGGTGGCGTATCTAGACTAGACATGAATCCGATAGAAGCTATTGTGTGCGCGTTGTGAGAAAAAATTGACATATAATTCATTGACTCTAAATTCTGGATTTACCTCCAACCAAAATGTTGCATGTAAAACACTTGTGTACATTCACATCACACGCGATTATTGTTATGTATGGTTAAATCTAGCTAAGAGTTTATCTTTTATCTTGTGGAACGTATTAATGTCATATACGATTATGGACGTTGAGCCTAACTCATGAAATGAAGATTATCCAAAACCGTATAAGGAGACAATAACTTATTCCCTAAACCATATGGCATAACAGTTACAGACTAATGAACATTGAGAATACACAGGTTTCAAGAAGGAACAGCTGAGAGTTGTACTTGCCGGCACAGGAACTCTGAAGATCAGCGGACAACGGCCAATTGGTCCGACTAAATGGCAGAGGTTTCTGAAGGAATTTCCTGTTGTGGAAAACTGTGACAGAAGCAAAATCAGCGCAAAGTTTGAAAACGGAATTCTTCATGTTAAACAACCAAAACTGATAACAACAGTGGAAAAGGAGAAGGAATTGTCAGCCACATTAGCTGAGAATACCCCTGCAGCTAAAAGACAGAAGACTACTTTACGAGACGAATTTGGTAAACAGGACAATGCTGATATTGATACCCCTGCTAAAGATGAACCAAAGGAAACTAGTCCTAAAACAAGTGAGCAAACAGAAGCTAAAAGTCTCGTAGAGAAAAAATTACCATCACATGATAGTAGTTCAAGTAGTAGTTCTTCCCATTTCAGTGAATCCGAAAGTGAATCGACTGATGATGATACAGATGATGAAACATCCAAAAATGCCAGTTGTTTGGTTGCAAACCTGAAGAAGCCAAGTAAAGTGATTAAAATGACTCTTGTTGGTCTGTTGGTTCTTGGAATCAGCCTCTATGTCGCCAACGAAAGATCTCATTAAATTTCATTTCTAAACTGTACTCAATCAATTTGTTATGAATCATAAAACCATCATTTGAATAAACAATAAGTGCTGATGAGATGAAATGATCTGCATTTTTCATGTGTGTTCACTAAAGGTCTGCATCATTTGGATCCTTTGTATATAGGCTGCACTCGCCTCTGCTTGCCCGGTCGAGCAGCTACTTAACAGATTATTTAATGATTGTCATTTTTCATTGAGATAATGATCACAAACATAACTATCACTTTTTCACGAGTTTCACACCGCAACTATCAGTTGTTCCCTTCCCCAACCTGAACGATGGTGATAATTTAGGTAGGAAAAGGGAACAACTGATAGTTGAGGTGTGTTTAAATACATAGATGATGATAGTTCAGGTAGGAAAAGGGAACAACTGATAGTTCCAATACATAATTAGCCACATTTTTCGGAATAGCACCATTTAACTTCCACAAACACTTTAATGTTTCAGAAAATAAAACACTTAATACAAGTACTTTAAATAGAAAGTAGCTATAATCATCTTTGATTTAGTTTAGCCTCTATGTATAAGAGGACGATAAACGTAACTAGCATGCTTCTACTGTAATAGTACATAATTAGCCACATTTTTCATTGAGGAATTCCAAGCTCACAACAGCCCACTTATCTTCAGCAATAGGAAGTACAATAGTACCCGTGGGGAGGACCCTGTCTGGAATGGATTTGTAAACTCTGAACCTGTTGGAAAGGAGGTAACTTTTGGTTTCTGCAGTCCTCCTCGCACTAGAATTTGCATTCAAGACAGTAGGAAATTTGGATGGTGTAGTTTTACTAGGCAAATGGTGCAATGATTCCACTGAAGAAGGGGATTTCTCGTTGACACTGAGCTCTTGGACGCCAAGCGTAAGTGAAGATGCATTAACTTTATCAGCACCTATGGACTTTGGAGATGTATGTTTAGAGTAAATTATCTCCTCTTCATCTGTCAAAGGCATGAATAATTAGTTGCATCAGAACCAGTACTAATAATAAGACAATCACATTAGTCGGAACACGTACATAGTGAAAACTATGAGACAAACCTCTGAATTTTTCTTGACTAATGGAAATGGACAGTGATTCCATGATAGGTTCAGTTTTGACAATTTCACCTTCCAACTCCGCGGAAACAGTTGAAAGATTACCAGCATATATGGATTTGCCTGAAATTGGAAAAGATGTCGAAATACTGTAGAACAGTAAAATTTTCAATAGTCTTCCAACTGCAATAAGTTGATCTCAAGACAAATAGCTGTTAGCCTGAACGGAGGTAAACTAGTTGGCCGAATGGTATATATCCATAACTAGCCCTTCCTATAATGTCTGATTGGCTCATGTATAGTCGTATACAGAAGGTAGAAGAAGAATACTTACATTTTGTTAAAGCTGTATAAGCAACCTTGGCAGCATTTTCTTCTGCCTGTTTCTTAGACTTTGCGCCATCCCCGTGAAAGATTTCTGCTTCAATTTCTACACTTGAGAAGAATGTCAGATTATGAGGCTCACCGGCCCTGGTTGTTTTATATCTAGGCAAGCAAATTTCTTCTTGTTGTGCTAGTTCTTGCAGGAAACTCTTGTAGCTGCCGGTATTACTCTGCAACGAAGATAATAAAATGAACAAAAGAGAAAACTTCCATGCCAGTTGCCAAAACGAAAACTGAACACACTTGCAGCAAACAAGATGGATTGACGACTTGGCTAGAATTCAAGTTACATACACTGACAGTGTAAACATTTTGAAGTAACGCTTATCATAGACGGTGCATATAGGACATATACTCAGATAACAAGGGACTATACCTTTTCTAAGGCAACGGTTACGAGTTTCATTAATGCAAACTGTGCAGCAGATTCTTCTGCTTCCTCTGAACTCTTGTATGCTCCAGGACTTTTGAACAATTCACCAGCCACTGTCACAGTTGCCTCGAAATAAAGACCTTGAGCTGAACTCATCCTTTTGTTGCGGTACACAGGTACACCAAGGTTTTTCCTTTTTGCATACATCTGCAGCTTCGTCTTGTACTGATAATGAGACTCTTCTGTAACAAAAACAACCTAACTTAGACATTTAAGGCGAACGGTAATGACACCAAAATCTCAACAACAACAAAAAATGAAGTGTATTATTTATCAAATGGAACAGCAAACTATCTTAGGCTCTTCACCTTGCTTGATCTCAGAAGTATTAAGACGATCCTGCAGATGTTGACATGTTTCCTCGGTTTTCGTTAGTCCACTATCTTCTATAGTTAGAAGTGAACCACCTAATAATAAGTAGAGAAAGATGTTACTTTAAAGAAAAAAGGAAATTACAAGTCAAGCAAGGTTTTAGAACATAAAGAAAAAGTTTCGAAAAAGAAATGAAAGATTCATAAATGACTAAAGTCTAAACAGCAATCGCAAATGGTAATGACACTGAAATCTCAAAAGATCGAAGTGTAATCAAATGTAACGGAAAGATCATCTTAGACTTTTCACCTTGCTTGATCTCAGAAGTACTTTTATCCTGCAGACTTGCATCAATTTTTGTTAGCCTGCTATCTTCTGCAGTTGGAAGTGAACCATCCGTAGAAAAAACATGTTATTTACTATACAAATTCAAACCACATTATTCTACCATTTCCCTTCTCTGGCCAATTAATTTTAAAAAGAAGTAGTAATAAATTTTACATATGCAACGCTGATAAGCTGACGAGAGCAGCAATGGCAGAACCTATTTTTCTATTTGAACATTGGACAAGCTTACAACACAAAACTTTCTAGCTATTCTAAAGCTCTTTCTCCTACCAGTAATGTATCGATAATCCTAGACAAGCAAGAAACGCGTGAAACTAAATACTAATGAGCCCATCATTTGTTCCACACGTAAAGAATGCATCATCTTTTCTTGAAACAATACAAGAAGGGGAAACGAGAGCATATCATTTCTACAAAATAAGAGAAAATGAGAGCATACGACACATTCTCCACACCGAACTTCAAGTGTCAATCAAGCAATCAATCTACTATAAATGCCACACTCACGAACTAATAGGGGTCGGTTTTATGAAATCTCTGTATCCATTCCACTCTCCTAATAAATCCAATATTTAACATATTCATCTTAGTTAAATTAAAACGTACCCCTTCTCCTTTATCCGGGACTTTGGACTTGCTATGTGACAGAGTTAAACAAACTTCAAATGTGAAAAAGAAGGAAAAGTAAAAAAGAGAAAAAAGTGATTTGTCTATAACAAACTTGGAAGAAAATCAGACCATATTTGACTATTTGAGTTCACAAGTTCAAGAGAAAAAGTATAAAACCAGAGCTTCTATGTGAAACACTACGTTGTTCGAACTCTTCAAAAATGCCAACAGGTGCATGTCCGATCTTTTTTGGAGGATCCAACACTGACGTGGCAACATTTTTGAAGAATCTGAACAACATATAGCTCAAACCTGTAAACAAGCATCAACATAATCAAAACAAACACTTATAAACATGATCTTTAAGAGATACTTCATATGTATATATATACCATTAGTAAAGTGAAGAAAAGCAAACTTAGCAGCTTCATTATGTGCTTCTTTTGATGATTTGCGCAAAGGTAGAGAGTCGAAATTGATGCCATTGACAACAACAGAAGCTTTGAATTTTGGATTATGATCTGCTCCATCTCTCATACAACAATATTTTGGAAGTGCCCATTTCTTGTTTTGACACAATTCTTGCAGCTTTGACTTGTACATTTTTTTTCTCTGCTTCTAAGTAGTAGTTTTTATGCTTTCAAGTTCCTTTTCTATATGTACACATAGAAATGCCACACACACACACCCCCACCCACCCCCCACACAAACACAAGTTTCCTTCATGGTTCATGCATTGAGCATTGAGAATCTTGACCCCCCCCCACCCCATAATCTTCTGCATGTTCTAGTATTATTTTATTTTATTTTGGTTTTCCACCTGGTGTCCGATATCTCATTGGAACTCAACTATTCCAGATTCATGCCGTGTAGGCAATGGTGGAGCCAGAAATTTTAATAAGGGTATCCAAGAATAATGGTGTGTGCGGTACCCGCATTGGAACCCAACTATTCCAGATTCGTGTCATGCAGGCAGTGGCAGACCGAGAAATTTTATTAAGGATATCCAAGAATAATGGTGTGTGGCTGTCAAAATAAAACAAAAAAATATTGTGCTAATTGGGGTTCAAACTCAGAACTCCTTCATTGAAATGGATACCAATTACCAGGCATAGCTTTTGTCAACAGTGTCCAACTTTAACAGTTGGACACCCTGGGGTGGCTATAGCTACACCACTGCGTGTAGAGCTCCATTTGGGCTACCCGCATTGGAACCCAACTATTCCAGATTCTCGCTGTGTAGGGTCCCATTCTGTGGGAAGCGTTTTCTTCCAAGAATTTTTTCATACTAGGGCTCGAACCCGAAATCTCTGGTTAAGAAAAAAACAGTCTCTTGAACAACATATGTTGGTGGTCCATGTTTTAGTACTATTACAAAGGAGGAACAAAAAAGTACTGTTGCAAGCTGATATTGTGAATGTACCATTTGGCAGTCACTTTTAACATGTGTTAATTTCTATCTGATTAACTATACTCATTGTAATATTAAAGTTGTAAAATATTTTTTTGTATGATATTTAAAGTAATCAAACTATGTGAAATTGCTCAGGAAATATAAATAATTTCATGGATCAGGACAAGTCATTTGCCACGTGGCCCGTACTTTGCCACACTTTAATTTCCACTGTGTTAAAAAATTACTATCGTGATTTTAAAGAAAATACAATTAAATGAAAAAAGGAAAAAAAGAACTACAGTAATTTATATAGACTTTAACTTTAAAAAAATAACAAAAATGGAAGTAAAAGATTCATATAGGTTAATAATATAGTTTGATGAGATTATGGTTTAGTTATTCATTGAATCACTTTACAATCAGGGTGTGCATGATGGGAAGGAAATTTAAATGTTTAATTTAAATTTCTTTTTAATAATAGCAATGTTCGAACCACCTCGATTAATTCCACATAATACATATCACCTCCCACCAACAACACGTATCAAGTGAAATTTGAACATGTGACCTCATTGTTGTCGACCCAAATTATTGATCATTAGCTCACACCCCTAGATATAGTTTCTTATTATCTTGGATTCAAAATTCAATACATAAAGCAAAAAATATTTATATATAATCTAGACAAATATTATGAGATGGAGTGGTGGGGATGCGGGCTACAAGGTGACGATTAGGATGAAGATGAGGTGTGTCGAACGGTGGGACACCATCAAAATGGAATGGCACTATGAAATTTATTTTTCCTACTTCTACTGGGGTAAATACAAGAAGCAATGATGAAAAAGGAGCCAATATAGCAAACCTCAGACAATTTGCCAGTAACTCAGAAACCTACATATTATTTCTCTGCAACAAACAGCCATGGCAATTTCAAACGGCACTTCAAGTTGGATCGACTATGGTAAGTCAAGCTCATTTCGTGCTGGCCAACTGGTCGCGGAGAAGCTTAGCAGCTGTTACCATGTTGCTGAGTGCAGGCTTAACTTCAGTATACTTGCGCGTCTTGAGGCCACAGTCGGGGTTGACCCAGAGGATGTTGGTATCAAGGACTGCAAGCATCTTGCTGATTCTGTCAGCTATTTCTTCTGTTGATGGAATCCTTGGTGAATGGATGTCGTATACTCCAGGGCCAATGCCAGCACCATACTTCACTCCCTCTCGGAACACAGAAAGAAGCTTCTCGTCAGACCTGGAGTTCTCGATGGTGATAACGTCAGCATCCATGTCGATAATTGAATGGATGATGTCGTTGAAGTTTGAATAACACATGTGAGTGTGAATCTGTCACAACAAATGGCAAAGATCATTAAAACTATGTAAAAGAATGAAAATGCTACCTTTAGTATAATCAAGAAATCCTTGAGAGCCAGCTGGCGCACAATTTGAAACTCGATGCATACTGACTTGCCCCTCTACCCTTCTCTGCTTAAATCCATATAGGGTTTGAACTAGTGAAGTGCGCGTGTAACCCAGACTACTACCAAAGCACAAGGGGCAAAGAAAATAACTTCCACCAATAACACAAAATGCCCCTCAATTCTACCTACCTATTAGTTTTACCGGACAACAATTAGGATTTAGGAACGAAGCTCCAATTCCACACATCAGAAGTTGCTTATGAATCTTTCGATCCCATCATTGCAATATTGTTGGACATTGGACATGTCGGGAAACATTAGGGAGGAAATTTTGAAGAAGTAGATAAGCACAATACACTTCAACACATAATTATATTCATCTAATAAATACAGACCTGGGTAGTGTCTTGAACACCACAGTTGGTAATCCTGAATGAATGTACAGCCCAGTTCAAGTAGAAAGCTTCCTCGGATTTTCTAAGAGGTAAACCCTCTCTTAAAGCAGCTTCATCGATCTGAATGACATTAATGCCAGCCTTCTCGAGATCTTCAACCTCATCCCTAATAGCCAAAGCAATTTGGTAGCAAGTCTCAAATCTAAAAAAGCAACAAGAAACAGTTAGAAATTAGATGTGTGCGGGATTAAGAAAGATATGTACTGTGTTGAAGCTTAAAAGTTCAAACCTCGGCTGGTCATCTCTAACAAAAGACCAGTTTAAGATGGTAACAGGTCCTGTAAGCATTCCCTTCATTGGGCGCTTGCTCATGCTCTGTGCCCGTGAAGACCAGAAGACAGTCATTGGTTTTGGGCGACTGACATCACCGTAGATTATTGGTGGCTTAACACAGCGAGATCCATAAGATTGAACCCATCCATTGGCTGTAAAAGCAAAACCAGATAATTGCTCCCCAAAATACTCGACCATATCGTTTCTCTGCATTTTGATGATGAAATGTTAGGGTTCTCAGCTTCTTCGGCATAACCTTACAGGCAATTAAACATGACTGATGTTTCTCACCTCTGGCTCTCCGTGCACAAGAACATCAATGTCTAGATCCTCCTGGAGTTTGACTACTTTGCTGATTTCCTCCGTAATATATTTGACATAATCTTCCTCCGAGATCCTTCAATAGTCGGAGGGAAAAACTAATTAATATGCAGGCTTAAACAACAACATGTTAACGGAATAATTGCAAAAGTAGATAGTTAACTTGTTAGCCTTGTATTCTCGTCGAGCTTTTCTAAGCTCCAATGTCTGAGGGAAAGAACCGATGGTAGTGGTTGGAAGAGCCGGAAGACTCAGCTTCTTCTGTTGAGCTTCCAACCTTGCACTGACAGTTGTGGCTCTGCGATGATCAGAGCCCTTCAAAGCAGCAGCCTGAACATGAAAGGCGGATTATAAGTTGATAATACAAAAGAGCTAAAACTATAATAAGATGGATATAAAACACCTGAGTATACTTACAGCCTTCTGCACAGCCCCGTTGGTCACTCTGGGAGAGGATTTTCTGGATGTGCGAGCTGCAGCGTTAGCAGAGAAAACTGCCTGCAGACAGAAACAGCAGCAGCAAAGGGCGATATTAACCAAGTTTTAAATAATGATATGAAACTTAATTGCTGGTAAAGAAATGTATCGAGGTCCACACAGTTATAATGTACAACAGATCCATTAAATATCATAAACACTAAAATTTAAGTGCTCAGCAATACAGCATACAGCATGGCTAAACTTAATCGAATATGACCAGTAATACGATTTAAAGATTCATTACTATTTAAATATCACATGTTCTAGATTTATATTTGCCTGATCCACTATTATGATTCATTTTCCGTGTAGATGATTAACAAAAATATGTCAAGATACCTCGTCTTTTTGTCCAGCCAACGCCTTTGCCAACGCGTTGACTTCAACCAATTTTTGTGCAGCAAATGCAAGCCATGACTTAATTTCTTCATCCAACTTAGTTTCATTCACTAAATCAACTGCAGTGTGGAGAAGCGAGCAGGAGGTGGAGACCACAAGCTTGTCTGAAGAAAAGAAATGCCCAATAGTGTCAGCTCATATAATTCTGATCATGCACAGACCTATATTATTTTCACTTATTGAAACAATTATATAGCTGCAAGGATATCACTAATTTTAATACATTCCTTTACTTTTGGATAAAGCAGAGTGCAAACTGAGGACTAACTTTACTGGTACATGTCCAAAAATTATAAATAAACTTTTAGGTTTCTTGAGAAACTATGCGGACTCACATTTTCCTATTCAACGTAATAAAATGCAGTTACAACCAGTTACCTTTTCCGACTAGGTTCTCAAGAGCTTGCAAGGTACTGAGAGAAGAAGCAAGATCATTAGCCCAAATATTCCTCCCATCAACTACTCCGGCAAATAGATACTTTTCTGAAGGAAAACCACTCTTGATCAAATCAAGATTCTTCGATCCACGAACTAGATCAAACCCCAGTGCAGTAACACATTTTAAAGAAGTCACTGTTTTGAAAGCTTCAGCAGGAACATCAGCAAAGTATGTCTCAATGAGGACATTTAATCCAGAAAGCGATGACTCTAATTCTGAGTAGGCATGAGAAAATGCTTGCAATTGATGAGAATCAAGATCCTTAACAAGAGTAGGCTCATCAAACTGAATCCAACTAGCACCAGCTGCCTTTAGTTCAGCAATGACTTCCCTGAATGAGCAGAAAGATATAAGCCAGTTCCAATGAGTGAACGTTTTAGATAGTATACATGACTGAACTACAGAATTGAGAATTGATCTGCTCTT